CCATAGGCTGTCCTCTTGAGGGGTAGTTCTGGGTTCTGGGATCAGGACTGCCAAACCTGGCCCTTCCTCTATGAGACCCCTGGCCCCAGAGATAGCAAGCAGCTTGTCCAGGGGCAGAGTGGGACCTTGGACTTCCTTCTCACTCAGCTGCACTTTCTGTCCCCACCCCCACCAGGTGCTAGAGCAGCCAGGCAGGAAAAGCCTCTCGTCTCCCTTCATATCTGTTTAGGAGGGGGAGGGAGGAGATGGGTTGGCTTCCCTGCCAGCTCATCTCCTGTTCCAGGAGAGATGGCATCTGGGCTGCAGCATCTTGTTCTTAGTTGAGAAAAGTGAAAAATGAAAGTGTTAGTCGCTCAGTCATGTCCAACTCTTTGCGACCCCATGGACTGTAGACCGCCAGGCTCCTCTGACTATGGAATTCTCCAGACAAGAATACTGGAGTGGGTAGCCATTTCCTTATCCAGGGGATCTTCCTGACCCAGGGATCTAACCCCAGTCTCCTGCATTATAGGCAGATTCTTTACCATCTGAGCCACCAGGGAAGCCCCCTGGTTCTTACCTGGCCTTGGGCAAGATACCCTCACTTGCTTCCTAATCCAGGTACCCAGGACCCTAAGTCTGTCTCCCTAGAGGTCCTTGAACCCCTCCCCTGGTTGTCCCATCTCCTAACCCTGAGGGACCCAGGGCATAGCCATCCCCAGGGCTGCCCCACCAAGACTGGCTCTGGTCACTGCAGCTCCCTGCTGGAGCCTTGGGGCCATCGCCTTGCCACCTTCCAGCCCTTGGGTGGACATCTAGCCCATAGTTCTTGGGCCCTGGACTTAGACCTGAAGGTCTTTCTGTTGTTGATGAATCTTCTTGGCAAATGCAAGACACAGCTTTGCTGGATGTCTCAGGTGAAGTTAGGCCCCCTCCCTGCAGCACTGACATTTGTTTGTCAAGCCTCAACTTGGCTATAGGCTGAGTGTGGCTATAGGATAAGGTCTGACTTATGTGGACAAGATGTCCCAGGAAGAAACTTGTTTAAGCTCGTGGCCCCTGTAGTCTCTTTTGGGCAAGCCCCACCCCGCCCCCCACCACCAGCCCTGGGCTTCTCAGGTGGCGCTAGTGGTAAAGAGCCTGCCTGGCAATACAAGAGACGCAAGAGACATGGGTTCAATCCCTGGGTCGGGAAGATCCCCCAGAGGAGGACATGGCAGTCCTCCAGTATTCTTGCCTGGAGAATCCCATGGACAGAGGAGCCTAGCGGGCTACAGTCCATGGGGTTGCAAAGAGTTGGACATGACTGAAATGACTTGGCATGCATGCATGCCACCCTCCCTACTTCAGGCCAGCAGAAGCCCGAGCCCAGAGCCAGGCCTGATGCATAGTCCCCAGGTGCTGATGACCTTGGCCAACTGCTTGTGGACCTGAGCTCCCTCACTGTGGCTGGTGAGTGACACCCCTCCCCCAGTCTGCTGTCCCCCAAGGGGCCAGGCCTGGACCTAGCTGACCTTTGTCTACTTCTGGCCCCTCTAGGCTCTCACTGAACATAACTGCCTTGCCTATTGCCTCATCTGTCCTTAACCCTCACAGACATTGCATCTCTTGTCTACCAGCCCCTCACCAGAGACACAGCCACCTTGGTAGGTCTGGGCCTGGCCTTGAAGTAGCCAGGGGGTTATGCTTTCCTTGGAGACAGAGTGCCCATCCCTGCCTGCCTCCCATTCCTGCAGGTGCAGTGGGAGATGAGCCCCTTCCCTGGCCTCCAGCAGGTGCCGATTCAAGGTTCCCAGTGCATGTTGCGAGGTAGGGGGGTTTCAGCTGACAGCACTTTCCCTAGCCTGCAGGCCCTGGAGAAGTCCTAGCCCAGTGGGCTGCCTTGTTTCCTGCCCTGCCACCTCCGCAAACCTGGGGCTGCAGGCCCTGCCCCTGGGTGGGCAGCAGAATTTTCACCTTTCTGGTGCAGATGCTAGCCCCACCTCTGCCACAGGCACATGGTCAAGAACGCAGGCTCTGGAGTCGGGAGCCTGGGTTCTGAGCCCAGCCCTGTGACTGTGACCTTTCTCTGTCTCCCTTTCCTCAGCTGTGATGTGGGGATGGTAGCACCTGTGTCACAGGTACTTGGTGAATGCTAGGTTGTTAGAAGGAACTGAGTTCTGCAGGCGGCAGGTGGAGTGATCAAGGTAGACTTGCACAGTCACCTCTGAGTCTCTATTTAGCTGGAGGATGGGGTGGCGCAGCTCCAGAGTTGCTGAGAAACAAGTCTGTGTGATGGTGGGAAGTGTCTTACAGACACCATCAGGCCCACAGGGAAGACTGGCTTAGGAAAGACTCGCTTGTCTGTGTCAGGGAGCTGGCTTGCCAGGCCCTTCCACCCTCCGGCAGACCCTGGTGATGTCTGCCCAGCCTGGCGTCCACCTGGCTGGCTCACCTTGCCAGGTAGCCCCTTTCTCCTTAGGTGCTGCAGGTGGTGTCACCTACCTCCAGAGAGACCAGGCTAGGTCCCCACGTGTGGTTTCCCTTCCCTGTACCCTCTCCCTCAAACCCTCAGAAGTCACTGGGTGTGTCTGAACTCTACCTTCATACAAGGCCTCACATGACACTCAGCAGCCTGGTTTGTGGAGGGCCAGGCAACCAAAACCTGAAGATCAGGGAGACTAGACTTTACCGCCAACCTTGGCCCTCAGGCTCATTCCTGCTTATCTCGCCCCCCTTCTCTCCTTTATCCCTAAAATGACTTTCATGGTAAGGGCGGCAGCTCAGGAGAACAAGGCTGGCATTACCCTCCCTCCTTAAGAAAAACACTAGCAGGAATAAGAGACTTCCCTGTTCCAGTGGCTAAGAATCCTCACTCCCAACGCAGGGGGCCCAACTTCAATCCCTGGATGCCATAACTAAGACCCAGCACTGCCAAATAAATATTTTTAAAGAGAAAACCATTAGCAGGGATGTTTTAGGTATCCTGACTGTCAGGGGAGCATCTACCAGGGCCTATTCCTAGTCCCTGGCCTGCTCTGGCCCTTGAGCCAAAAGTTGTAGAGAAACGGGCTGACCCAAGATGGGTGCTGGTTTTCTGGGTACCAAGGGGTAGGGCCTTGGGGGGTAGGGGCCCTTCAGGGGTATGAATGAATGATTGCATATTCCAGAAGTGCAGAGGAATCTCCTGGCCACGTGGGGCCCCGAGTAGCTGTAGCTGCCAACTACAGTTGACTGTGTGGTGACCGTCCTGTTGACCTTCGCTGGCATCTTGGTGTCAGTCGCTGTCTTCAGCCGGGTGATCCCATGGTCTGGGCCCTAGGCTCCTGGGTCCTCTCACTGGGCCTGCTGGCTCTTCTGTAGATAGAGGGAGCCTTTCAGGTCAGACTAAGCTGTAGTCCCCTTCCATTCTAGGTAATGGTTTCAAAGACCACAGGGACCTCCCTGGTGGTCCCGTGGTGAAGAATCCACCTTCCAGTGAAGAGGGTGTGGGTTCAATCCCTGGTCTCAAAGCTAAGATCTCACTTGCCTCCCGGCCAAAACCCAAACATAAAACAGAAGCAATATTGTAAAGCCTTTAAAAGGCCATCCCTCTGCGCTACCAAACTTCTCACGGCCCAGGGGGCCCAGGAGCCGTTTGAGATTTGTGAGCCATAGTCTTCACCTACCTGGTGTCCTCCAGGAAAGCTGCCCTGTCCTCACAGCCCTGTCCTCAGGCCTCAGAGGGGCTGTTAGCTTGGCTTCCCTCCTAGGTAACCCCAGCCAGGCAGTCTGGTCTCTGCACCGGGCCTGCCCCATGGCTCCAACCGTCTCTGCTGCACACCCAGTGCTCTGGTTTGCTGAGTAGCAACCAGGCCTCACCTTGGCCACCAGCCCTCAAAGCCCTTTGGTCTGAGGGTGGCCGGCCCTAAGGCGGAGGCGAGGCTGGGTCCACACTTTGCCCCCAGGAGTCCCCATCCCCACCCTGGACCCTGTCAGTCTTCTGCCCCACCTCCCCCTCCTCTACTCCGAACCTCTCCCATGTCCTCCTGTCAGATGACTGCCCAGAAACAAAAGCAATCTCTTACACCAACTTCTCATTGCTCCTGTTATTTAATTTTCCATACCCCAAACAACCAGAGTTTGTCTTGAGGCCAGTAATACCTCTAGCCCCACTACGGTGTCAAGCCAAGCATGAGGAAGCCAGGTCTGTTCCCCTTCCCGCATCTTCTGCAGCCTCCGTATTGCCATCTTCCGCTCCACAGGGCTTGACCTGAGTATGTCAAGTGACCTCAAGGGTTTCCCCAGACCTTTAGTGGAGGCGGCTTCTGTGGCTAACGTGCGCTGGTCTCCCTGGTGTGGGTGGTGAGGGGCTGTTCCCCCCAGCCCACCTCTGTCGTTCCCTCGGAGTCTAGTCCTCGGCTGAGCTGGAAGGGAGGAAGCCCCCCCCTCCCCCATGCTGTGGGGACCTCAGGCTGGGGCCTTTCTGCTCTGGCTCTGCTTCTCAGGGCTGAGCGCTGACTCTGGAAGGCTGGGAGCAGGTTGGGGCAGGAGGAGAGGTCTGGAATTTGGTTTCACTAGAGGAGCGACAGCAGGAAGGGGCACCTGGGGGTGGAGGAAAGGACAAAAGCCAGGAGCCAGGAATCACAAGGTACCCCAGCATGGTGCTCCCTGCCCTCCTTGTGTCCACGGCCCTGGGGTCCCCACTTCTCCCAGGCTGAGGAGGAGTCACTGCCTGGTGCTCCAGTGGTGGAGGCAACCACCACCCCCCCACCCCGGATCTCTTTCCCTATCCCAGCTCTCCTGGCCACGTGGGTCTCCAAGTTCTGGCTCTGTCCACCCACCCACTGCAGCATTTCTGAGGGTAAGTGGAGCCCATTTAGAGGATTCTGCTTGACCACCCCGGGATCAGCCCCCATGAGAGAGGGGGTAAACTTTTAGGGCACAGTGATTGTACCGCTCTGTCAACACCCACTGGGAAATGTCTGCATAAAGCCTTGGCGGCTGGGGGGCAGACCTCACCCAGAGTAAACACCCCAGAGGGACTGACCCCTGTGTCTTACCGCATGTGTCTGGACACCCCAAAACAGGTCTTCTGCTTCCACACCTGGAGCAGGAAAGGTGGGGTCAGGCCAAGCTTTCCAGCTGGAAGACCCTCTGCTCTCTTGGGTGGGCTCAGGTGGGAAATGAGCCCTCAGCTTGATGCAGAGGGTCAAGGGTCCAGCCTGTCTCTCAGGAAGGCACCCCTGGCCCAAACAGACACTCACCAGGACCAAGGTGAGCGCAAGAAACAGGAGACCCAGGATAATGAGATATCCCCAGCATAGCAGGGGATGAAGGTGTCAGCCTGACCTGAAGCTGCAGAACAAAGCAGGGAGGTGGCTGGGGTGGGTCCCCATTCTTCTAGACCACAGACCCCTGAGAAGGCACAGCCAGGCCTGCAGAGAAGTCCCGAGTGAGGGGTCTTCACCCAGAAGTGCTACAAGGACAGAGCTCTGAAGCTGGGGCCACCTTGGAGGGCTCCCAGGAAGAGGAGGCCGGGCTTGGACCCTAAAGAGCTGGGGGGCAGCAGGAAGAAGGGAGGGGAGGAGGGGGCAGCAGGCCGCAGAGTCAGGGCAACCAGGGGCAGCGAGGCAACAGGCCTGAAGGAGGAGGCAGGTGGATAGAAGATAGAGAGGGAGCGAGGCACTGACCGAGGTCTGGGATGACCATCTGCGCAGAGAGGCCCTCAGTTTCCTGCAGGGCTCGCAGACCCTGGAACATGCAGCCCTGCACGAGGGCTCGGGCCGGTGCAGGCCTGAAGAAGGTGGCAGTCACCCTGGCGGTCAGTGGGTCAGGCCTAGCCGGAGGGCCACCACCAGTGTCAGGAGGCCAGAGAGCCTGGGGGCCTCAGGAAGGCCGTTTCTCTGAGCCCCTGACCCCACCCACAGAGCCCAGCCCTGGGCCCCAGGTCACCCAGAGCCGCCGAGGACCTACTGGAACTTCTCCACCACCACTTGGCCGAAGGTCCGCAGAGGCCTGAGGACAGTGGTCAGATGGGGAGCAGAGAGGATGAAGAGGGTCACGGCCTTACTGCAGCCTTGTTGGGGCCCCTCCCTGAGGCCTCCAGCTCTTCCCTCCCCCTCCCCACTTCACCCATCTCGTCAATTGCCCCCGAAGTCTCTGGGACTTAGGGCTGGTTTTGTCCTTCAGGGCCTCGGTGAAGGGTTGGTCCAGGATCTGCAGCCACACTTCGCAAAGCACCAGCTCTGCTTTCTCCCCTAGATGGGCGAGGAGGTGGGCATCAGCCTGCGCCCCTCTCCCGGGAGCCCTGGGCTGCACACCCCAACCTCTACACTCTCAGCCAACAGTCCAGCCCTGCTGCCTTAGCCCATGAGCTAAAAATAGTTCTACATTTTTCAGATCATTGAAAAACATTAAAAGGATGGTATCCTGTGGCACAATTATGTGACATACAAGTTTCCATACCCGTCTAGTCATACTGGCACACAGCCACACCCATCTGTCTATGTGACATCTGTGGCTGCCTTCCCTCTATAAGGGAGCAGTCAAGTAGTTATGACAGACACGATGGCCCACAGAGCCTATCTATCCAGCTCCCCATCTAAGGTCCCACATCTGATTGTGGCCCCAGGATAAGAGTAGGTGTGACTGAGATGAAATTCTGTCCATTGGCCAAAGGAGGAACACTGAGACCTAGAGAGATTAAGAGGCTTCCGGCCAAGGACACCCAGGGATCCCAGCCCTGACTCACCGTTGGCCATGATGCTGGATTTCTGGACAGTAGGATCCATTATGTTCCGGGCCAGGTGATTGGCCAAGCCAGGGAGGTGAGTAGCTATGGGGGTCTGGAACTTGTATTCGATGTAAAGGCCCACCCACTGGTCCGCATTACTAGGACAAGTACAAGGGGGGGCGTGCAAGGGTTACAGGCTCAGTCAGCACATGTTTCTAGAAGCAGGCGTCCAGCCTCCCACCCCAGTACATCCTCAGGCTCAGGGCTTTACAGGGCCAGCTGGGGCTACCTGGGACAAAGCCTGCCCCTGGTGGCCCCTGAGCCTGCGGCTCCCATGGCCTGGCTCACAGCCCCCTCTGCCCCAGGGCAGCCCCCGGGAGAGGAGGAGGGCAGGCTGGGCTGCAGGGGGAGAGCCCCACCCACCTGAAGAGGAGCAGGGGCCCCTCCTGGGGATGCGCTGAATAGAATTCTGCCACCACGGCCGTGACCTGTGGGGGGTCCTGGAACTCAGGGTGGGCCCAGAGCTCTAAGACCCAGCGTGGGGTGGGGAGGGGTGACTGGGGTGAGGCAACTGAGCAGCTCCTTAAACCTTGCATCCTGGGTGCCTCCCTCACTCACCCTAGTGCTGGCCCTGGGTAGGGGTGTCTGATTTCAGAGCCTGACCATAGCCCACTGGGATGAGCTGTTTCCTGCCCCAGACAATCTCCCCACCCTAAAGCAGAATGTCAGCCCTCAAATGGGGGCCCAATGAGTAGGGCTGTGTGCCCTTCATGCCTGCCTCCCCTCACAGGACCAAGGCTGGGTGCCACCCCACCCTTCACCCCCAAGCCACAGAGGCCTGCAGTCAAGGAAGGCAAAGTGATTCCCAGGCCTTGGAGGGCAGGCCAGAGGCCACCTCACCTGTGGGAGGATCTTCTTTTCCAGCAGGACAAAGGGGGCAGAGCCGGGCAGGAGGAGCAGGGGATGGAAGGGCTCCATGGCTGTGAGATGGATGCTGAGGGTCTCCAGGGCCAGGTCAGTCAGGTTGGACCCTGAGAGCCACGGCTGGGAGTTCAGGAGGGCCTGGGACCCTCCTGATCCATCACCCCATGCCTCATGGCTGGGACAGGGGGTGTACCTCTCTAGGGAGCAGCCCCAGCTGTCCATGGGCACTAAGGTAGGGGGTGGGGGAAGAGGGGCAAGCAGAGACTCACCATCCGAGGCGAGGCTGCTCTCATCCAAGGACAGGTTCCCCAGCATCGCCCTGCGGCCTTCACTGAGCGGTGCAGGGTCCAGAGGACTTCACGGGCAGAGGGGCCCGGGACGTGGCCCCCAAACAGAAGGGAGGCGCTCACAGCTGCAGAGTCGGGCCTGTGGACAGAGCCCTCCTTATAAGGGGTCCAGTAGGGACGGGGAGAACCCTGGGGGACAGATCAGGACCTGGCTGGTGCATAGGACCAGGGTCCTGAGGAAGGAGGGAACTGTGGAGTGGGTCGCTGTGTGACATCACCCCTCTGGGCCTCAGCTGAAAATCGGGATAATGATCCCTTTCTGTAGGGCTGTGTGGGGACTGGTGCAGCCAGAGGAGCACACAGCAGGTGCTTGGGAAAGCCAGTCCCCTTGGACAGCCCAACAAACTGGCTCTGATGGGAACACTGGGAATCCCACCCAGGGAGATGGCTGCTGTGAGCAAGCAGGAAGTCAGCCTGAGCCAGACTGAGGATCACAAGGAGCAGGGGGTCGGGAGAGAGGGAGGTGACAGGCCTGAGGATTCCCTGTAAGCCTGTGGGAGGTTGGCCACGTGGCCAAGTCCCAAGGAGGCAGCCTGGCCTGAGCACGGGGTTGAAGGAGTTTGTGGGGAAAGATCTGAAAACAAGCAGCCTCAGGACACAGACTTCCTTCATCTTTCCCCAGAGTACCCATTTTGCGCTATGCCCTACTGGGTTTGGAAAGACAAAGCCTCTGTTCAGACCCAGGGCAGGGAATCCTGAGACTGATTTCAGTTCAGAGGGGAAGCTTTCTAACCAACTTGGGTCAAGGAAAGATAGTGATGGTGAACTTCCCATCACTAGGTATAATCAAGCTTCCATCAAGGTCCACACTGAGCTCACAGCTCATATGGAGCTGTGATGATTTGGACTTTCTCAACCTTTTCTATAAGATTTCAGGACTGGCATCTGCTGACCAAATCTGGCTTTAGGACTCCCACTGCATCCTCAGAGGCTCAGAACCAGAGAGCCCAATCCCCCCCCACCCCAGAGAATTTGTACCTGCTTACATGTCATTTAATTTCCCATGTGGCGCTAGTGATAACCCACCTGCCAATGCAGGTAAATGTAAGAGATGTGGGTTCAGTCTCTGGGTTGGGAAGATCCTCTGGAGGAGGGCATGGCAACCCATTCCAGTATTGTTGCCTGGAGAATCCCATGGACAGAGAAGCCTGGTGAGTTACAGTCCACAGGGTCACAAAGAGCCGGACATGACCGATTTAGTGATTTAGTACACAAGCACATGTCATTTAAGGGCTCTTCGCCCCAGGGAAGTCCTCTGCCAGGTTCAGGCAAAACCTAGCACCCATGCGCCAATCCTGAAGCTGGAATTGGAGCTCAGAGCAGGCAGGAGGTCCCCTAAGCTCACACAGCCAGAGGCACAACCGGATGTGGGCCTCCTGCCTGCCCACTGAGGGTTTTTCTGGCCCCCAAGGTGCTGTGGTGGAACTGGGTGGGGCAGGGCAGCTTGGTTGAGTACACCTGTGACCTGAGAAGGTGCAGACCGGCTGGCAGATGGGTGGTAGACCCTAAGAGACTTGCTTGCTCACCTGAATTGCAGGATACCGACGCCCTCAAAGCTGGAGAAGGCCTCATGATAGAGGGACTGGAGCTGGGGACAGACAGAGCCAGGTGAGGTCTTCACAGCCCCCCACTTCTCCACAGCGTCAGCCCACCCTCATTATCTCTGGTCTGGGCCCTGCAATGGCCTCACTGTCCACCTGGACTGCCTGGGGCCACCCAAGCCTTCCCTGCGTGGCTGCCAGAGACCCCCTGCCAACCACCCTCTACTGAGAACCACAGGGTGCCCTCAGCTATTCAGCAAACACACGGCCTTCCCAGGCCTTTCCTTCTCTGCAGTTTTATTGAAAATGGCTCTCCAATCCAATTAGTCTGTATGCCCGCAGCCACCACCCTGTAGGCGGCAGCCCCTCCTCCTAATTCTCCCCCACACCCAGCCCAGGCCTCAAGCCTTCTCCAGACAGTCCCTCTCAGCCGTGACCCTGGACCTCAGCCTCTACCTACCTTTCCACCTCAGGGTCCTCACACATGTTGTTTCCTCTGTCTAGGAAACGCTTGCTCATTCCATCTGGCTTAGCCTTCTGTCCATCCCAGGTAAAATTCTCCTTCCTCAGAAAGGTGTTTTCTGGGCAACCCCCTGACCCCAGCTATCTAAACCAGTCTTCTGCTTATCCTGTAAGAGTTCCCCACACCCAGTCTCTGCAAGTCTCTGCCTGGCTCCCCCTTCCTGCTGGAGCCACTCACAGGATAGGGTCAGCTTTCTACCTCCTGGGCTCCCACCGTGCACCCCACATGCTCCTCCCCACACCGACGAGAAGCCCAGGGCGGGTTTCACTCACTCCATACTTCCAGAGCCCCCGTGGGCACCCCACCCTGGGCCCGGCCGCCCCCAGGGAGCCGTGGTTCACAGGGAGGGGCAAGCTGGGAAGGGACAGTGTGGGGAAGGGAGCCGACAGACGGAGGCTCTGGCTCCGTGGGGCCAGGGTCTGAGTCACAGCGGGAGGTCCCTCCAAGGGCCAGGGTAGTGGAGGGTGCGAGGTGGCCCAGAGTGGAGGAATAGCAGGAGCCAAAACACAGAGTGGAGACGGTGTGTGCTCAGAGGCGGGTGGGTGGGCTGGGGTCAGCCCTCCTGAGCAGATGAAGGAAGAAGCCCGCACCTGATGGCGGATGCTGTCCTTCAGCAGCTGGTGCTCCGGGGAGGCAGGGCTCCCAAGTGCCACCACCGAGGCTCTGCTGGTGATCCTGAAGGTCACAAAGTGAGTCACACGGCTGGCTCGTGGGGAGGGGCATCTCGAGTCCTGCAATGAGACAGTCTGGCGGGGACGAGACAGGGAAGACGACTGGGGGGAGGCCACACCTCCAGGGACCCTGGGGCAGCCAGCAGGAAGGCCAAGGGCACATCTGAGGGAGAGGGTGGCCACGGAGGCTGGGCTATCAGGGACCAATGGCCTAGGCCGGACTGTCCGCTGAAGAGCAGCCATCCCTGGAACCACCGGAAGTGACTGGGCAGGTGGAATCTGGAAACATTGAAGAGGCGGCCTGTGCTTGTGCGGGGGAGCACAGATGCAGAAGCATCCTGGGAGGTTCCGGCTCTGGCAGTGAAGGGGGAACCTGGACCCACGATGGGTGACAGTGATGCCAATATGGGTGATGGGGATGTGAGTGGGTATGATCGTGGCGGTAATGCTGATGACAACTGTGAAGAGGGTACTGTTGAGAGCAATGGCGACACTGAAGGACCCAGGCCCAGACTGGACACCAGACCATTTCTGGGGGAGCCTGAGACCACTGTGAGGGCTGCAGAGGCCGTGTCCAGTACTGACTGCACTGTTGCTACAGGAGGAAGCGGCTCTGTGGCAGCCAACACGTGACTGATCGATGTAAATGCAAGCGGGCCCTGGGATGCTGAGGACACGGCCTTCTCTGGGACCCTTGGAGCCAACATCAGAAGTGGGGCGTTCCCTGGCCTGAAGTTGCTGGCCCCTGATGCAGACAGTGTCCAGACCTTGGGGTTCAAGAGGTGCCTGCTCACGGGCTGGGACTGCAATTGGGGAGAAGCCTGCAGTGGTGATGTGGCAGCCCTCTCTGGAGACCCAGGGACAAAGATCTCCTCTCCATCTCCAGGTGCAGCCACATGGGACACTGGCTGGGACTTGGGGGTACTGTGGGCTGCAGGCTCAGCCACTGCGGGTGGAGCTGGCCTGTGTGTGGCCCCTCCTGGGGCGCCAGAGGGTCCCAAAGGGGCAGGCTGGTTCGGGAGGAGCTGCAAGTCCAGGAGGACACCCAGGAGACCTTGCTGGTCCCCAGGGGCCTCTGGGAAAAGGCCTCTTGCCCTCCTTCCAGGAGCCTCCCCTGACTTCTCAACTGAGGGAGAGACCCCTGCAGGAACTGGCACCAAGCGGTTTAATGATGGGAGGAGTATCTCCTTGCTGCCAGCTTGCAAAGCAGATGTGCCAGAGGTCCAGGGAAATGGGCCCAGGTCTTCATGAGCCGGAGGAAGGGGCAAGGCAGGAGCCAAGACCACCAGGGCAGCTGCAAACCAGGAGAGGCCTTTTCTATCAGCCTCTCAGTGGGCTGGGAACTGGCCCACAGTCTCAGGTACCTGCCCTCCCTGCCACCTCCCTCCTTTAGGGGACCCAAGGAGACCCAAACTCTGGCCCCGGCTCTGCCCCGAACCACTGGTCTACCTCCAGAGAAATCTCCCCTCTCTGATCCAAGCCCACCAGAGATAGGGCAACCCTGCCCTGCCATCAGAAAGGGGGACTGTGAGGGTAACAGGGTATACCTCAAGGGTCCCACTCTTTTCTTCCACCCTGTAGCAGGACCCCATCCCAAGGGAAGTCCTTTTTTGGTGAGACCCAGGATGCTGGAGGGGGCTGGCAAGTGCTGTTCAGCCTCCAGCAAGGGAACGAGGCAATCACCTCATCACATTTCCAGAACCCAGGATGCTTGATGGCTGAAAGGGGTGAGGGATGGGGAGGGCCCCATTTCTGAAAGCCATAATGCTACCTCTGGCTGCAAGGGTGCACTGAGCCCCTTGGGGCCAGCCCAATGCCAGGTTTCCCCAGTGAGCGACACTGAGTGCCCCTGGGGAGACCCAAGCCTGGGGGACCGAGGAGGGGATCGTGGCCCTGTCTCAGGATCCTCTGAGCTGACAAAGCCAGGCTGACATGAAGATAAGGAAGGTCAGCCCTGACGTGGGAGCCGTGGGAGTCCCCGAAGCGAGCTGGTGGGGTCTGTTATGGGCCCCCCAGGGGCCACACCCCCACTTACCAGCCAGGAGAATCCCAGCAGATGGAAGCCACTGCCCCGCCATGCTGAGGGCTCCTGCTCAGGCTGCCAAGCCCAGAACCAGATGGGAGGAGGCAGGTGGAAGATTCCCTCCAGGTCTCCCTTCAGGAAAGAAGTGCTGCCCAGCCACGAGCTCTGGTCAGCCGAAGCCTCCAGCTATGCCCTGAGCTGCGTCTGTCTGGCCTTTTTCCACAGCCCTGCCCTGCAGCTCAGGCGTGAGTCCCCGTGTCCTCCAGCAAAGCCCTTTTCCCCTTGGGCGGCAGGCTCTGTTGAATGGGGACTGTGTATGCCAGCGCCACAGCCTAAGGGGTTATAGGCTTGAAAATCTACTGAAGAGTGAAAAGTCTGTCTGGTCTAGGGGTGGGGTGGTCTTCATGGAGGGGGTGAGGGTCTCAGTGGTGGCAGTGATCTGGGTAGGGGTAGGAGGGGTGTTAGTGGTGCTGATGGTGGGGTGGGGGAGGCTGTGGCGACAGTGGCAGTCATGGCAGACTCGCAATGACGGTGGAGGTGCTAACTGTGGTGGGAGCCCTGCAGGTGTCCAGGTGGGATGGGACTTAGCGGAGGGCAGTGGTGCCCGTTCCCTGCCCCAGCTCCCACCCCATCAGGCTAGGAGGGGAGTCTGGAGGAGAGCAGATCAGAGAATAGTCCCCATCATGCCCCCTACACTGGGCCCACATGGAATCCTGGCCAGAGGCCTGGACTGGGGATGTTGGATGTGGACGTGGGTGGGCTTTAGGTCAAGGGTTCTCCCCAGGTTCCCCTGCAGACCCAGAGCCTCCTACTGGTCCTTGCTGTGGTCAGTCCTGCTTTCCTCTCACTACCTCCTTCCTCCCCTCGCCCCTGAAAACACAGGAGGAGAAGGAAGAGGGTGGCCCTAAGAAGCTTTGAGCTACTGAGGGCAGGAAGGGCAGGGGTCTGGTGCCTTCGTGGGAGCCAGTTAGGCTTGGGGCTCGGATCCTGCTCCACACCTCTCCCTACACCTGGCAGCCATAGGAGGTTCTCAGCTCTTTCAAAGCCTCTCCCACCAGGCTCCTGGCTTGTTTGTGACCTCCAGGGGGGTCCAAGATCCTTCCCAGGTCACTCAGGACAGGTAGGCTGCAGAAACCCCTCAAGGGGAGGTAATCCCTAGAACACTTCACAGCAGGAAATTAGATCAGAAACTCCTGCCCTCCTTGCCTGCCGCTAGCCACCAACCAGCAACTCCTAACTGAATGCACCCCTTCCCCTTTCTAAGGGAAGAATTCCCCCATGACCCAACACTACCCTAACACATATATCATCCCAGGATCAGGCAAACGCCCCAGCCCAGCCCTTTTCCTGCCGTTCAACCACAGCTCAACTGCTTTGTAAACCCAAGCTACTGTGTCCACATACCCAGAGACAGCCATCTGCACCCAACCCCTTCTGCGTGAGGAGGTTAAGGGTCCAGGCCCCCCAGGCTCTGGGGTGGATGTCCTCCTAAGCACAGGCTTTGTTCTTTGACAACTCCTGCCTCCAGGCCTAGTTTCATGGCCCCCATTCTCCCACCTGCCCTTCCACAGGTCTAAATTCTGGCCCATGACCCCATCTTCCAGGCCAGGCAACCCACTCTGGCACCCCCATTCCATCTCCCTTGCCTGTGCACCCAAGATGCCCAGGTCTTACCTAATGATGCCAGGAAGCCTCTGTCTTGGGAGATGTCAGTGTTCCACAAAGGAGATGGTGAGTGCAGCAACCCCAACCTCCGCCTAGACGGGTAGGGCCGCCCCCTTCCCAGGCACCCTTAGGACCAGGAAGGTTTGGTTTCTGATGGCTCCAGTCCGAGAGTGAAGGCCACTCACACCCCAGGCCAGGCTGGACTAGACTCTCTCAGCACAGAGGCTGGTTTAGCAGTGATGGTCAAAGCAGGAGCTCCCAGGGACAGAAGAGGGGTGAGGGACAGAAATGCACCTGAGGAGTACTCTACACCACTGGGCAAGGGCTTTGGGCTCAGGCTCCAGAGGTGGGAGATGAGGACATGCTCTCTCTCCCCATCAAGCCCCTGCTGATCGAGAACAATCTCACAGAGAAAGCTCAATCAAGAACTAGAGATCGGGGCTCAGGGCTATGTTTAGAATCAGGGTTTAGGATATGCACAGGGATGGGGCTCAATATGCATCAGCATCGGTGCTGGAACTTGCACTAGAGCTGGGCTAGACCTGGGCTGTCTCTGCTCTTTTCCTGCATTCCAATAGGAAGGCCATCCCAACACCTGAAATAACTTGTCTTCATCCTTGAAATAAACTGAGTGGGAATCAGCCCCAGATCAAGGATTTCAAAAAAAGAACTTTGAGAAGATTCACAACCTCTGGGGCAGGATCTGGAGCCAAGGGCTGGGTAATATTCCTCTTCTCATGGGCCAGCTCAGGCCCCTCCATCAGGACCTCCCCTCCTCCTCCCAGCTCCACAGCCCTGAGAGGACCACAGTCTAGCCCGGTTATATAGTCTGCTGTTCCGTCTAAGAGCTCTGCACCCTCTCCATGTCCTGCTCCCTAACACAGCTGAGTACAGAGGGGAGCCCTCTCTCTCTGTGATCACTGGAGGCAGTGGCTTCCTGGGGGTCATCCCATGACCCTAGTCCAGCACCAAAAGAGAGGGTGTGTGGAGACCTAGAGAGTCCTGGAGATCTGTACAGCAGTGAGCAAGAGGGGGATCCCAAGAGGAGAAACAGGACGGGTCATCCCAGGACTGACCAGGCAGACATTTGCCTAGACACACTGGCAGTGCGGCCAGCGGATGCTCAGCTTTGCCTGTGTACCTTCTGGAGGCAAGGCCTCTCCAGCTTCAAAGGTGGGTGTGAAGCTGGTCCTCCCCTTCCTGGCTGTCTCTTCTGGGCTCCCAATCCCCTAGTTGAGGAGTAAGGGTGGGGTGGGGACCAGCTTGCATGACTCATGTGGCCTTTGGCAGGTGCCTGCCCATCCAGACCTTAATCCCATTACTTTGCTCCTCAGAGAAGGGCTATGATGGCCTGAGAGCTCCGGCCACTTGACCAGGACAGAACAGGAGGCTCATGGGAGGAACAGGGAGAAGGGTGGGAGAAGGCTGGGCCTCCTACATCCTCTGCTGAATTCTCAATTCTCCATGAGCCTCTGGCTCTCCTGCCTGGCTGATTTTCGTCCTGGCCTAATCCCCAGCCCAACTCCAGCCCATGGCCCTCTCCACTCCCACCCCTGCCCATGGCTGCTGAGGTGGCCACGTGCTAGCTCTGGGAAGGGACAGGAGAGGCGGTATGAGAGAAGTGGCAATTTCCACTTCATTGTGCTTCCAGGGACGGTGTTCAGGCCAAGAGAACAGCCTTAGTAAAGCTCTACAGCTAACTCAGTTCATGCACAGGAGGGAGGGCAGACCCCTCCCCACTGTCCAGTCACTTTCCAGAGCCTCCACTTCCCCAGCTCCCTCTGGGACCCAGCCCAGGCTCCCCCAGGGTCTTGGTTTACAGCCCTGCTCATCACTGCATCACTCAGATACCCAGGATGTCAACCCACCTATTCCAAGCATGTTGACAGGGCCAGAATCACTCTGTGAGCCCCTGTCAGGAGCAAGTGACAAGTAGAAATCCCAGCTGAATCAGGCCAACTGACTGCCTTCCTGCCTCTGGCCTGCCTCTCCCGTGTTTGCCTCACTTGCTACCTGTCCTTCTGCCCTAGGAAATGACAGTGCCCATGTAGAAAACCTGGCCCCAGACCTGCTCTTTATCTCTAAAGGTGCATCCTCTAAGGAAGGTCAAGGGTCTGACACCTAATGCCATTTTTCCTGGGTTTTTCTACCCAGACTGGCCTCTCTCCTGCTGGAACCTCTGCCTGGATTCCCCCGCTTACCAAGTCAGGCTGTGTGTGGTGTTGAAAGTTGAATGAAAGGAAAATCATGGCTCTAATACAGATGGAAAAATGTTAAAGATTGTGTTTAATTCAGTATTAATGAGGGAACCAGGCAGACATTACTACCAGTTCAGAGGAGAATTCAAAGAAGCCTTAATTTATATTGAATAAAGAAATGTTTAAGTAGATTTATAAATACTTGTAAAACTGACTTTTTCTCATTTGCTTGATTATAAACAATTATTTTGTATTGCTATCAGTCATCCTCAATGTAAGATTGTAAAAAAATGTTTAAAACATACACACACACACAGTTTCAGAAGAATGGTTTTAGTCAAAACAGTGCACAGTTTTCCATTGGAAACATCTAGTAATTCTTATTCTTATTCAAAATTTCCTTACAGTGGTCAGACTCTCTGAGATGTGCAGCAGAAGAAGTGGGGCTTAGTAAGTATTGGCGACGTCAGGGAAGGCTTCCCGGAGGAGAGGGACTGGACAGGATAGGAAAGAAGAGGGCACTAACAGAGACCACTAGTTGTCCCTGAATACTTCTCCTATTTTTCATTGCTAATACTATCCCTTCTTCTTTTTTTGTCATACTGCATGGCATGTGGGATCCTAGCTCCCCAACCAGGCATTGAACCTGCATCCCCTCATTGGAAGCCAGAGTCTTAACCACTGGACTGCCAGAGAAGTTCCCAACTATCCCTCATTCTTAGCTGGGCATGCGGTGGTCCAGAATAAAGACTACATATCCCAGCCTCTCTTGTAGTAGGTGTGACCATGTGATCTGGTTCTGGCCAATAGGATAAGAGCACCATGATTTCCGTTCAGTTCAGTTGCTCAGTCCAACTCTTTGCAACCCCATGGACTGCAGAGCACCGTGAGGGATGTCCCCCAAAGGAAAAGGTGTTACTCTTTGTTATTCTCCTTCTTGCTGACTGAAATGTGAAACTCAAGCTCTTGAACCATGAAGTAGAGACTGTAAATGCAAGATGGTGAAGCAAACAGGAAGGTCCTAGACATCCTTGTGAAGTCACCTTACCAGTTGTGGATTATCCACCTCCAAACTTGTTTGGTATGAGAGGGAAATAGATATCTATGTTATTCAAGCCACTGTTATTTGGGGTTTTCTATTTTTTATTGCCCTAGCCCTGACTTTACACCTGTAGTGGGTAGAAACTACGCCTGGTCTCCCTTCTCTGACTTGGCAGCACCCGACTCAGCTGACATGAACAGAGCTCACTCAGTGGGAGCAGTGGGCAGTCTCTGGGGGCACACATCCCTTCCAGGCAACCCACACTTTTAGGCACCCTTAGCCCTTCATGATTTTGCTTTCTTCATACTTCTCTATGTCTCCCCAACAAGCACCCTCCACTTGGGCTAAGTGGGAACACTCATTCTTTCCAGGTACATTTCCAACTCCATGCTTTTGCTCCTGACTCAAGGGGTAGGTACTATGAACTGCCCATTGAAGTGAAGTGAAAGTTGCTCAGTCGTGTCTGACTCTTTGCGATCCCATGGACTATACAGTCCAGAATATTGGAGTGGGGAGCCTTAGCTCCCCAACCCCACTCTCTAGGCCAGAATATTGGAGTGGGTAGCCTTTCTCTTCTCCAGGTGATCTTCCAAACCCAGGGATTGAACCCAGGTCTCCCGCATTGCAAGTGGATTCTTTACTGGCTGAACCACAAGGGAATCGTATTAAGCAAGGAAACAATTGGAAAACCAGCACAATGCCTACCTTTAATAAAAACACTGGCTGCAGAGAAATAGAAATCTGCATGAAGGCATCAGAGAGTCAACACAACAGTGAAGAATTCCTAGACAAAGATACAAGGAGGAGACAAAAAAGGTTCAGCATTCGGAGCTGCATTTCCCATGGGGGTGTTTGTCAATCCTAAAATGGTAGCTGAGAAGCTGATCAGTACTTTGAATAGCTTCTAGGTTACTATAGAGACAAAAGTTGAAGTCCAGGACCTGCCAAAGTTTGGGGTAAGGTTTGCATATGTTCTTTTTTTGTCTTTTTTTTTTTTTTAAGTTGGAGGCTAATTACTTTACATCATTGCAGTGGTTTTTGTCATACATTGAAATGAATTAGCCATGGAAGCATATGTTCTTATAAACCCATAGACCATTGGTTTGGAACACTGGACGGCTATACCTTGGGAGTAAGGGTGATCTGGAAGTAAGCCAAATCTCACATAAACTGCAGCCCAGTTTTCAGTCTCAATTCATAAAATTGGATTAAAATGATCTTGAATTGCTCATGAATTCAGGCACTGGGACAGGAAAATGAAATTGTCTGTGGTGGAAGATAACATTATCTTAATCCTCAAAACATTTTACAAGCTAATGTTTTCAAAATGTTTGGCACACAGCTAAGGCAACTAGGCCCAGAAGGAGACAAGAAAACATGAACCAAGAATTAATGAAAGCAGCAGACAATAGAAACCCCCTCAGAGGATGGCTGCAAAACTTTCAACTTCAAGCCTGACTGGGGCAAGGACTATTCATGAAAACTAGAGGCTCTTGAGTTCTCAAACAAATTTGAAGAAGCCAAGCAAACCTCTGAGGAGGGTTTAAAACATAAGGCAAACATTCACATAACGCAAACATTCCTCAGCTCAAAGAAGGTTTACAGATCATGGAGGCTTGGTTGGCAGAGAAGAAATGCATGAACCCTTTCAATACCCTCAATCTGTCCTGGAAGCTGGAGAGTGATCCCAGAACAAGGACACAGCTCACTGACCCTACCTACCAGGAACTAACAGAACAACTATGAAACAAGCCATTCAACCTGGAGACAAAACTGCAAAATCCCTGATCACGACTACCCTACTCTCAGCGTCCTCCTCAGAGTCCATGTGGGCAGTATGCCTGAGGAGGAGGAAGTTGCGACATCTGCACCACCACCTCCTCCCCAAAAGCAGACCAAGCCAGAGCCCAAGGAAGAAGACTTTTCCAGAGAAGCAGCAGGCACTGAAAGACAAAGAACCAGGAGCTGGTAAGGAGAAAGGTTTTGACACAACCTTGAAGCTCCATGACAGAGCCACGGGCCTGGACTCCACCAACATGATTTACGTGACCAATCAAGCAGCCATGTTCTTTGCAAAGAGTGACTCCGGTGAATGCTGGGAGCTTTGTGAGAAGACCACTAAAGTGGGCCAGAAGGACTATCAACAGATGGCCAGAGTTTATGCTCGAATTGGCAACTCTTATTTCAAAGAAGAAAAGTACCAGGACGCCATCCATTTTCACAACAAGTCTCCAACAGAGCACTGAATCCTAGGTGTGCTCCAAAAATGCCAACGGAGCACTGAACTGAGCTCCCTCTGCTACCCAGCAGCTTCCCGCTCGCTAGTTTACATATCGTAGGGTATATATGTCAATACTACTCAGCTTGGGGCTCTGTGATAATCTAGACAGGTGGAATGGGGAGAGGGGTGGGAGGGAGGCTCCGGAGGGAGGGGATACATGCAAACACATGGCTCATTCACAGTGTTGTACAGCAGAAACTAACACACATTGTAAAGCAATTACACTCCAATTAAAACAAGAGAGCCAACAGAAAGAGAAAATCCTGAAGGAGCAAGAGCCTCCATAAGCTCTGAGTTGGCTTCAGAGGAGAAGAACAAAGACAATGAATATTTTCAGGCCAGGGACTCTCCCCAGCCCAGGAAGCATTTAGACAGAATCCATCAAACAGAACCCAAACGATGCCAAATTGTACAGTGATTGTATAGTGTACAAATTGTACAGTGACCCAGCCTGCTATTGCAAACTCCTGTGGTTTTAGGTGGCACTCAAGAACTGTGAAGACTGTCTTCAGCCAGAACCAACCTTCATCAGGGGTTTTCCTTGGAAAGTGGTTGCCCTTAAAGTGATGAAAGACTACCCACAGATCACAAATGTCCAACCAGAAGGCACCAAACCTGGACTCCAGTTGTAAAGGAGGTGATAGATGGTTACCAACGCTACATGATGGTCCAGGACAACTGACACGACAGCGTGAAGGTGTGAAGAGAGGGGCCACGGCCACCTTAAGGTGCAGCAGATAACAGGTGACCCTGCATCATCCTGGAACAGATGCAGAAGTGCCTCTAGGAATGTAAGGTGGTGCAGCCACAATTCACAGTGGGAAACACTATGGAGGTGCCTCAAAACAAAACAAAAGAGTTGCCATATGACCCAGCAATCCCACTCCTAGGCATATACCCTGACAAAACTATAATTAGAAAAGATACATGCATAGGAATTCCTTGGTGGTCCAGTGGTGAGGACTCCATGCTTCCACTGCAGGGGGCATAGGTTTGATCTCTGGTCAGGGAACTACGACCTCACATGCCACACAGCATGTCCAAAATAAAAGGATAGACACACCCTATGTTCATCAGCAGAACTGTTCACAATAGCCAAGACATGGAGACAACCTAAATGTCCATCAACAGGTGAATGGATAAAGATGTGGTATATGTGTGTGTGTGTGTATATATGTATATATTATATACATATAATGAAATTTTAATCAGTCATCCAAAAATGCCATTTACAGCAACATGGATGGACCTATAGATGATCACACTAAGCAAAGTAAGTCAGAAAGAGAAAGACAAATACCATATGATATCACTTATATGCTCCTTGGAAGAAAAGTTATGATAAACCTACACAGCATATTAAAAAGCAGAGATATTACTTTGCCAACAAAGGTCCATATAGTCAAAGCGATGGTTTTTCCAGTAGTCATGTATGGATGTAAGAGTCGAACCATAAATAGACTGAGTGCTAAAGAATTGATGCTTTTGAACTGTGGTGCTAGAGAAGACTCTTGAGAGTCCCTTGGACTACAAGGAGATCAAACCAGCCAATCCTAAAGGAAATGGATCCTGAATATTCATTGGAAGGACTGATGCTGAAGCTGAGGCTCCAATACATTGGCCACCTGATGTGAAGAGTCGACTCATTAGAAAAGACGCTGATGCTGGGAAAGATTGAAGGCAGGAGGAGAAGGGGATGATAGAGGATGAGATGGTTGGATGGCATCACTGACTCACTGGACATGGGTTTGAGTTTGAGCAAGTTCTGGGAGATGGGGGAAGGACAGGGAAGTCTGGCATGCTGCAGTCCATGGGTTTGCAAAGAGTTGAACATGACTGAGCAATTGAACAAAAACAATATATGGAACCTAATATATGATATAAATCAACATATCTGTGAAACAAAAACAGACTCACAGATACAGAGAACAGATTTTTGGTTGCCAAGAGGAAGGTAGGTGAGGAAAGGATTGGCAGTTTGGGTTAGCAGAGGCAAATTCTAATATATAAGATGGATAAACAACAAAGTCCTACTGTATCATACAGGGATCTATATTCAATATCCTGTGACAAACCATAATGGAAAAGCATATGAAAAGAACACACACACACACACGTGAGATAGACCTAAGACCTGGGACCCTTTGCTGCAGAGATACCCAAACAAACATCTCCTAGAGCAACAAGATACAAGGAAACTATAAGGGACTAAAAATACTTATTTTTAGCAAGTTTGCATGCCCTGTTGGGGCAAATTCTGGACAAGACACAAAAAGACCAACTGCCAATTCTGAAGAGCTGGGGGAAAACGTAGGGGCTCAGGAGCAAAAGCAGGGTACTGTGCATGCCCCCTGCACACACCACCACCTAAAGGGTGGGTAAACCACCTAAGCCACCCTTGGACACACCCCTACCCTCACCTCATATGAGGAACCAGCTTGCCCACTCCCCAGCGAGTGAGAAAGCAAGGGAATCTGTTACCTGTTCTTGGTCCTCCCTGCTACAGCAGGGGCCCCAGTAAAGCCTTGCTTGAATTTTTTGTCTGGCCTCTGATCAATTTCTGTTGATTAAGGAGACCAAGAACTCTGGTTGATAACATATGTATAACTGAGTCACTTTATTACACATAAGAAGGTAACACAATATTTTATTTTATTTTCATTTATGTTTATTAGTTGGAGGCTAATTACTTCACATCATTTCAGTGGGTTTTGTCATACATTGACATGAATCAGCCATGGAGTTACATGTATTCCCCATCCCGATCCCCCCTCCCACCTCCCTTTCCACTCGATTCCTCTGGGTCTTCCCAGCGCACCAGGCCCGAGCACTTGTCTCATGCATCCCACCTGGGCTGGTGATCTGTTTCACTATAGATAATATACATGCTGTTCTTTCGAAACATCCCACCCTCTCCTTCTCCCACAGAGTCCAAAAGTCTGTTCTGTACATCTGTGTCTCTTTTTCTGTTTTGCATATAGGGTTATCATTACCATCTTTCTAAATTCCATATATATGTGTTAGTATGCTGTAATGTTCTTTATCTTTCTGGCTCACTTCACTCTGTATAATGGGCTCCAGTTTCATCCATCTCATTAGAACTGATTCAAATGAATTCTTTTTAATGGCTGAGTAATATTCCATGGTGTATATGTACCACAGCTTCCTTATCCATTCATCTGCTGATGGGCATCTAGGTTGCTTCCATGTCCTGGCTATTATGAACAGTGCTGCGATGAACACTGGGGTGCACGTGTCTCTTTCAGATCTGGTTTCCTCAGTGTGTACGCCCAGAAGTGGTATTGCTGGGTCATATAGCAGTTCTATCTCCAGTTTTTTAAGAAATCTCCACACTGTTTTCCATAGTAGCTGTACTAGTTTGCATTCCCACCAACAGTGTAAGAGGGTTCCCTTTTCTCCACACCCTCTCCAGCATTTATTGCTTGTAGACTTTTGGATAGCAGCCATCCTGACTGGTGTGTAATGGTACCTCATTGTGGTTTTGATTTGCATTTCTCTGATAATGAGTGATGTTGAGCATCTTTTCATGTGTTTGTTAGCCATCTGTATGTCTTCTTTGGAGAAATGCCTGTTTAGTTCTTTGGCCCATTTTTTGATTGGGTCATTTATTTTTCTGGAATTGAGCTTCAGGAGTTGCTTGTATACTTTTGAGATTAATCCTCTGTCTGTTGTTTCATTTGCTATTATTTTCTCCCAATCTGAGGGCTGTCTTTTCACCTTACTTATAGTTTCCTTTGTTGTGCAAAAGCTTTTAAGTTTCATTAGGTCCCATTTGTTTATTTTTGCTTTTATTTCCAATATTCTGGGAGGTGGGTCATAGAGGATCCTGCTGTGATTTATGTCGGAGAGTGTTTTGCCTATGTTCTCCTCTAGGAGTTTTATAGTTTCTGGTCTTACATTTAGATCTTTCATCCATTTTGACTTTATTTTTGTGTATGGTGTTAGAAGGTGTTCTAGTTTCATTCTTTTACAAGTGGTTGACCAGTTTTCCCAGCAGCACTTGTTAAAGAGGTTGTGTTTTTTCCATTGTATATCCTTGCCTCCTTTGTCGAAGATAAGGTGTCCATAGGTTCGTGGATTTATCTCTGGGCTTTCTATTCTGTTCCATTGATCTATATTTCTGTCTTTGTGCCAGTACCATACTGTCTTGATGACTGTGGCTTTGTAGTATAGTCTGAAGTCAGGCAGGTTGATTCCTCCAGTTCCATTCTTCTTTCTCAAGATTACTTTAGCTATTCGAGGTTTTTTGTATTTCCATACAAATTGTGAAATTATTTGTTCTAGTTCTGTGAAAAATACCATTGGTAGCTTGATAGGGATTGCATTGAATCTATAGATTGCTTTGGGTAGAATAGCCATTTTGACAATATTGATTCTTCCAATCCATGAACACAGTATGTTTCTCCATCTGTTTGTGTCCTCTTTGATTTCTTTCATCAGTGTTTTATAGTTTTCTATGTATAGGTCTTTTGTTTCTTTAGGTAGATATACTCCTAAGTATTTTATTCTTTTTGTTGCAATGGTGAATGGTATTGTTTCCTTAATTTCTCTTTCTGTTTTTTCATTGTTAGTGTATAGGAATGCAAGGGATTTCTGTGTAACACAATATTTTAAATCAACTATGCTTCAATCATTTGGGTCAACTCCGGGAGTTGGTGATGGACAGGGAGGCCTGGCATGCTGTGGTTCATGGGGTCACAAAGAGGCGGACACGACTGAGCGACTGAACTGAACTGAACTGATGCTTCAGTCAACCCTGACTATTCATTGGAAGTACTGATGCTGAAGCTGAAGCTCCAATAGTTTGGCCAGCTGATGTGAAGAGCTGACTCATTAGAAAAGACCCTGATGCTGGGAAAGATTGAAGGCAGGAGGAGAAGGGGACGACAGAGGATGAGATGGTTGGATGGCATCACTGACCCAATGGACGTGAATTTGAGCAGG